ACTTAATGTTTAATTGTAAATTAATTTAATTAAACAATAAATATATATTAATTTTAATATGAGCTGAATTCAAGATATTTTTTTTTATTTTTTCAAGATTGATTACCGACGAGATTCTCGTCGGTAATTAGGAAAACAGTAATAAAAAATGGCGCCTGAAAAAATTGGCGCCTAAAATTTTGGAAATGATGCAGAGAAGATCGTCACGGTCAGACGTGGATCTTGTCAGTGATTTAGTAATAGGGCAACGATTTCCGCTGCATTGGCAGACGTGATACTCGTCGGTGATAAGCGAGGGCTCGAGGCTCCTCCTTACGTCCAGACGTTATGCTTGTCGGTAATTTACCGACGTGGAACCCGAAATGTTTTTCGGTTAACTGTTCCGGCTCCCTATTTCCAAGATGTTTTTTGTCGGTAATTGTGAGTGCGTTTTCCGACGTCATTTTCATCTACGTCAGTGATTTAGTTACTGAGCCGGGCTTCACCGAGGCAGCCATTACCGACGTGATGCAAGTGGGAAGTTTGTTTCACCGACCAGATTCTCTCTTTCTCCAACATGGTTTGTCGTCGGTGTTATAGTAAATTCTTGTAGTGAATATTATTTCTTGTAAATTTTATGTCTTTTTTGGTTTAGTGGTTAAAAATAATATATAATTATGCTTATTATAAAATAAGAGATATTTGAGTATGAGAAAATAATAATATGTAAAGATAAGGTAATAAAATAAGATAAAAAAAAAAGAAAAAGAAAAAAGAGAAGATATAACATATAAGAAAAACTTTAGAAGTATGATCTCTTATTCTTTCATTTTCATTCACTCTATGTCTTCTCTATACAATGCAAGTCTATATATAAGTTAAGAGAGAATGAATATTACATAAATTCAATGAACAAGCATAATTGAAAATTCATAAACTAAGTGGAGTATTGAACAAAGCTTGATAGTGATTTGATAAATATTGTGGTTCAATTGAATGTACTGGTTCCATGAATAAAGTGCTTCCATGAATAAAACTTGGATCCATATATGAGACTCACCAATTTAATGAATAAAGGTTAGAGGGTAAAAGAATACAGATGAAACATTGATTTATTTATATAATTTATAGTAATTTATTAATTAATATTTGATATTTATCAATTAATAATTTTAAATTAACTTATAAATTAATATTTTTAAAGACCTTAATTGATTACTTAAAAAAACATAAAATCTAAGAAAATTAGTAAAACCAAACCCACTCTCGTATTGTCCCGCACATGGTGGCCTATTGACCACCCCTTGCGAATGTGCGTAGGACTAATGAGACCTGGGATCAAATCCCAGGTCCCTTCCCTTTCCCCGGAAAAAAAAAACAAAAAGTTTCTCACTGTTCAAAAAAATAATAATTATTATTATTTATATGAGATTTTTGTTTTATAATTGATTACTTAAAAAAACATAAAATCTAAGAAAATTAGTAAAACCAAACCCACCCTCGTATTAAATTTCTCCTAACCATTTCTTACATTTGCTTCATCTTAATTACCCCTACGGAAGCTTCCTTGCTTGCCTTTGTGGCTCACCTTCTCTGACCCATCTGCCACGAAGGTGCTAGAGGAGTCCAGTTTTTCTCTATTTACATCCGTCACTGCTCTGACCCCGGGAACAGCGGGAGCGTGAGGCGGCTTCCAGGGATCGGTAGTGGGCGGACAAGACGGCTGTCACGTGGGCTTGAGGCGTCCGTGATTAAGGGTGAGTTTGAGATTCAGTGGGGAATTATTTCGTACAGTCACATAACA